AGTATTCGTGCTACAACTGGAAATACTATGTCACACAGTGTTATCTCTGAAAAAAATGCACAAAAAAAAAATGAAATTTACATTGTATGTGTTATATTTAGATTGAATGATGTAGCTATAATTTCGTAAAATCCATTTAAAATTAAAAATAGAACATCTGATTGTCCTCTGACCTTCTCATTTTACCCCGTTTTTGGGGTAAAAAGGATCGGAGAGTTTTATTGAACATAGTCAAATAGTTGCTTATTTGATATGTGTTATTTCTTGTGATTTAATTGGTTTCATTTTCACAATATAATTTATACTTGCTATATCTGTTATACTTGTGAATAGGTGGTTGAGTCAAAATTCGGCAAAAATGTCGCGGTATTAACAATTTCTCTGAAAATAGTTAGATATTAAATTAAAAGTTTATTGGTTAGAAACAAAAGTTTATGAAGCACTTTATATAACTTTTGTACGAAAACTGCCACCAAACATAGCCTTGCCATAACATTGGTCTATTTTACGGCGGAATCGGCCCATAAATAATCGAATTCTTCTCCTTATCAATGTTATTAATAGCATTGAACATTTAAATTCAAAACACAAAACTCATCCTCCGTTCACTTAATAAAATTCCTTCAGAATTGTAACCGAATTTCATTCAAGTTTCGTGGCTGCCTCCTATCCTATCCTCTCGAACGAGTTCAGCTGTTGATTCCCAAATGAGTTTGAGCGAGGTGTCTTGTAATAACATTCAATATTGATTCTTTCGCCGGCCTCCGACGAGAGCTACCAAAATGTATTTATAATTACCTGATACGAGTACACGACGATCGTTATTTGAACTTAGCATATTTCTATCGCTTTTACAAACTTTGTGATTATTCTCGTTTAATATTACACGGTCAATATTGTTTTGTGTGTTTTGAGAGAAGGTGTTAAATATTTGTTGGTCCAGCTCTTGTTTGCGATTGTGGACCGAATTAGACTAGTGCTTTAAAGATTTTAACAAGCATTTCCGTTAGACGAGTTTCATAAGATAAATATTGTGGAAATAAATTATATATATTTTGAATAAAATACACGTATTCACGTCAATTTTATTTTATTTAGCAATCAATAACATTGGTTGGTTTTTAAACTAAATTAGAAAATAAAATAAAGTAACTGCAATTGTGATAAATAAAACATTATAGAATAGACAACAAAATAGACACAATAATCAATAATTGTATATCATTATTAAAAAAGGATTCCCAAATATCACAATCGATATGCCTAATAATCGGCATAATCAATACGAATTGAGATGTAGGGGCTTTTAAATTTATGACAACAAAATTTTAAAATGTACGACAAGTATTCGTAGGCACATTATATTTTAGGATTTTTGTTAAGATAATGAACTTCACATATGCAAGAAAAAAACTAATAAACGCATGCCATTATAGAGTTTCTTAAAATTAGAGTTTTCTAAATTAGAGTTTAAAAACCGTAGAGCCGTCAGATATAGGATAAAAAAATTAAAGTCAGGGTATATTTTCCATTCAATTTAACGTTTGCAAACTGTAGAATTTTTTATTTAATTTGGGGCACTATTGTTTTAATTTGCTACTTTAGTATCATTTATATCTATCGTAAAATTGGTTATATAATTGATAATATAAATAAATATTTTGAACATATAAGATGATGATAATTTAACGATTTCTAACATGAGTACGAAGTTAATTAACGTGGTGCAGATTATATGAAGAATTGAGTATTTTACTTAATAGTAATTTACGTATTTATAGAGTATTTACTTATTATAATTTTATATACGATGGTAAATACTATAAAATAAATTAGTTTAAGTTATGTCGTAGTCATAAAATGGATTAGACTGAAAGCATAAAAAATAAATAAAAATATGAACAATGAATATTCGAAAACAAGAACTGAAATGGTGATTTTTAAAAAAAAGCGTACGATACGTGTACGCATGGTACAAATGTTAAAAATTTTAAAATGTCAGATTTAAAAACTGTCAATGAAAATTGAAATCTTAAGAAAAAGTACAAAAATTAAAATAAACAAAACTTGATACCTGTTTCAAAGTTTAATTTAATCACATTTCTTTATGCATGACAAAGCACTTGAAAATTTATTTATTTAAGATCGGCACAATTGTGCCACATTTTCACACCTTCCTGCCTAAGGATTTCATCTTTGCTCTACGTAGTTACCGGACAAAAATACCCACGCAACGATCTGCTGTCCAGAAATTAAAAATAAATATTATCTTATAATTGACAATAGATTATTATAAATATATAACACCTCCGCCACACGTTGGTTTTCGAGAGGGTGCTAAGTAAATATCAAATCGTCAATAATCTTTCACTCTTTTGATGCTGTCAGAGGCTAAAATGTATTTTCGGGGCCAGCTTTAATTTGCACATAATGGATTGTTTTTATAGGACGACTCGACGATAAGAAATATTATAGGATAGGACGAACTCTGAGGTAGGAAGTAAAGGATAAGCTTCCCCGAGCATAAGTTGATCTGTGTGGTCGTAGTAAACAAACACGGGCGATGGGCAATGGGCTTTCTTGAATGAAACACATGTGCCCATGTGCCGCGGAGAGAACGGCCTATGTAATTCGGGCACACAAATTTATTATTAGCTATTCATTTTTTTTAATTTTAACAGCTATCAGCTAACGTTCCTAATTTGTTAATGGCTTCGGGCGTGCAACACAATGGTTAACCACCCTTGTTTGCTATTACTACATTACATTATATTAGATATGTGTATCTAATGTATATGATGCAGCAATGCCGGCGAAAGGCGATTTTTAATTGGCAATCATATATGAAATCTACTATCATAAGTTAAAACTGCTTGATATCGAGCTTGGCCGAGGTTGAGATCGAACTCGGCACTAGTTGGTGCTAGTTCACGTCATTGCAAATTCCGCCACGTGTGGCGCAATTATTTGATTTGATGCCGGTATTTCATTGTTTATCTCTATAAACCTTTGGCATTTATTTATTTACATATATACATTATTTTCATATCTCAGTCAGACAGAGGTCCCTGGTATGAGAGATTATGAAAAACAGTTTTCATATAATATTTACATTTCATTTGACTATAATATCTATTTCATTAATATAATATCTATATATATAACTCTTCAGTCTTCTTTGTCTTCAATTTCCTTATAGTACTTAAGGAAAAAGTAAGTAAAAACATAAAAACTTTACTTTTAAGTTGCATAAACTTTTTGATACGATGCTCGGTACCAATAGCTTTATCGATAAAGCTCGATCTAGATCTAGATAAAATTTCCCACTGTTTATTTCAAATATGTATAAAATTTTAATTTTTACTAATAATCAATCCATAGTCAACATCTTACGTTTCGAGCTAAATAAAAACCTAGCTTTCTTATTGACACCTTAACCCTTTCGACTCGGGTGCCGCCGCTCCGGCGACAAAAGTCATATAAATCTCGCAATTTGCGAGTGGAAGTGTTAAATTTGTGTAGGCGGCGTGCAAAAAATGCTTTTTCAAAAATTTTGTAATTGTGAAAATTGACAATTTTTTTGTTTAAGTTTTAAGTTTAAAATAGGATTATAATATAATGCGTAATACTTCCTTCTACTGCCATCACCATATAGTTCTAGTATCAAACTAGAAGACAATTTAAAAGAAAACCACACTAATAGCAAACAAAACACCGATTTTTTTAAAAAAAGATTCTTTAACAATAATGTGGTTGTTGAGAAGCTTATTAATGAATAAACGTAATCTATCGAGTTCGATTTTTTGGTTTTTGACCATATAAAAGTTAATTAGAAGATTATATTTGCAATGTACACTATTAGGTATGTTTTTTTTTTAAATATTTTTTCGACCATTAATCATACAGTAAAACTTTATTAAATATTTTTATGCCTAATAATCATACGTATCCGTTTTAAAAATATATTTTCTGTTAACAAAGCGTAAATAAAATTTTCAACAATATACATATAGATTCTGAATTAGACTTAAAATTATCTTTTCCGCATTCAATTAGTGCATTCACTCTCCTGGTTAATTTTTAATATATAGTGAGTTAGTATAAAATATTACAACTTAGAAGTACCTGCAAAAAGAATTCTGTGTTATAGAAATTATGTTAAATTTAAAGTCAGAAAAATCATTTTTCTACATTATTTATTAATTAACAAAAATTGTATTGTCCATTCAATTACACGTTTACATAAAAAGTATACTATCTACCTATATAGATTGCATACTATTGCAACTTCTGCCACAGTATACCATATTATCACAAGTTATGAACAAATACTTATTCTAATGAATCACATACACTTTATGATAAGTTTGTTAAAGGTACGCGACTATATATTCAAAATTAATTTTGATTTTGGTCAATATTTATTTTGCACATTCAGGTTTAATAGATTACATATATTTGTAATATGGGAAATATGCATATTTTTAATTGCTATGTAAACGCCACAAACATGTGTCTTGGTGATAGTGAAAATTATTTATACTTAAATCAAATTAATATTTTATTATTAAAACTTACATCTTTGTAGATTGCATACCATTCTGTTTTTAAATTAGAAATTGAAAATCATCCATAAAAATATTTGCTTTAAATTTAATATTAATAAATTGTCTTGTATAAATCGTAGCATTCAATCACATATAAAAAGTATGCATACTTCCAGGTTAAATACAGATATTCGCAGTTTAATGCATGCCTAAAAATCTATGCTTAACATCAAATATGCAAAGAAAAATATATTAATTACATTCAATTAGTAGCAAACAAATAATTCAAAATAATTCTGTATGATGAATACAAATTAGGCATTTTATGCACATTGTAAATAAAAAAAAAGTAAAATACTAAATAAGATTTCTAAATACAGATTGGCAGGACTATGTTATTTTATGAACTTTTAAATAGATTATTACCTATAAAACCTTCAAAATATAGCGGCAAATATATCAAAAATAACATTTTATAAAAATCATTAAGCTAACATATTTCTAAACAAGTATCACGATTTAAAAAATTATTTCCTTATAGGTGTTCCCGATAAACTATTATAAACAAACAAATCAATAACAAATAAAATGTCAATTTACATCTTAAATTGTTTGTACCATCAGTATTAATTTTTAACAATGTTTTTAAGTCTACCTGCAATTACTCTGCCGAAATGGGTTCCGTCCCAATAGCACTTTCCACAACCTTCGCAAACATAAAATACTGAAACATTATTGAGAACTGTTAATGGTATCAGGTTGGCTTGGATTAAAGCACCACTTTTCGTAAATCGATTTAAAGCATTGCCTCGAACTGTAAAAAATGTTGAAGCTGACATGAATAATAACATAAACTCGAACATTATTAGGAATTCTATAACACATACCTAATTGCCAGGATCTGTTATTTACGGGTAGTTGTTCTGAAGTTCCGCAAAAAGTATTACCAAGTGCATTGTTAATATTCGCTAAACTAAGCATCTCGCTGCGGGAAAAACTTGAGAATTCATTGTTGTTGCATATCTAAATAAAAGTGCACTTATCATTTTATTTTATTCTTTATTGAGTAAAATTGTTAACCTTTCCCAATATTACCTGACATCTGCTGAAAATATTGTTTTCAGTAACTTCAATGTTGTAATAATGTAATACTTCTTTTAATTGTTCATCAACCGGATCAGATTTCACTCTATAGCAGTACCCGAGAGGGACAAATTGATGCAACTGGAATATTTAAAATTTTAAATTATTGGAAATTATTTTTAACTAAAAGTTTGATCGTATTGTATAAATCCAAAATAATATGTATGTTGCCTACCCTATTGAATGCTGTGCCTCTTGTTAATATAATTCGTTGCTGTTGTTGAGCAATATTGATACATATGTCATGGTCTTTACTATTATCAATTGATATAGCATCAACACCACACTTCCGTAAACATCTCGCCAAGCCCTCCAACATACTATCACAGACAACCTTTATAGCATCTACTCCACGTGTTGGCAAATTAGCAAAAGGACTAGGAACTTGTTCTATTATGGTTGTTGGCTGCTAAAAAATGCAAAACTTCAGTTTAATAAAGCCATTTTTGTGTTTATGTAAATACTGCTTTTATTTTTTAGTAAGTCTTAAAAATTTCACCACATTTCAGGAGAGTTGCAGAAATCTCAATATAAATGATTAGTTTAATAATATTTAAAAGATTACCAAAATTCAAATCTATTATATGATCAAAGAGTTAAAAACATATGAGATAAAAATCTAACCTTTTTATCATTTTTCTTCTTATTACGTTTCTTGGGAGATCGAACATTTTGTGTTATTCTATCATACATTTCAATTAAATTTATATTGCAATTATTGCAAACATCTACAATGACATCATGAACTTCCAACAAACAGTGTGCATCCAAAGCTATGTAAAAATTAAACTATTAAATGTAATGTTATATTAATTAGAATGGTGTAATTTTATACCAAACCTGCATATAAAATTTGTTCCTTCCTGAGTGGTCGAAGTTCCCAATTTGAAAATTGATTTGTTTTATCAAGATTTGCACCTAAACATAATTGAACCAGTGCTGAAAGTCCATCACCACAACCTGGCTCACCTAAATATGTTTATATATGTAATTTAATTTCCTGAATTTAAAAATAAAATATTGTAGAAGATAATACTTACCTGAATATGGATATTTAAAATAGGAATTTCTCCCAAGAGCTTTTGTGAGGTCCTGCAAATCCAACCAACCAACACCACCACAAAATATAGAATTTCGCAATTTTAGAGTTGATTGAATTTTTTCTAAATCCAGCCGTAGACCATATCCTGAAAGTCACACAGATCAGTTTGTGCATCATTTCTATACTCATCCGAGATATTAATATAAAAAGTCTTTGACACATACTTATATATACATTAAATATGTAGTAATATTCTATATTTAAATATGCAGGACATGTATATAAATACAAAATAATAATTACCTAGTTTTAAAATCTCATGATTCTCAAATAATTGTATTGATAATTGCTTCCACAAATGATGTGCATGACCCAACTCAACAACATCTAATAAATAAATATTCTTTCCTGTAGAGAGTTGAATCAAAGCAACATCTGATGGCTTAGTTCCAAAATATGGCTTCCACTCTGAATCTAAACCAACTCGAGTCACATTCTAAAAATATTATTTATCACTTATGGCATATTAATGTCAATTAATATTTCTACTTGAATAATTTGATCCACACACAAATTATGGACTTTTATGTACAAACCTCAAACCCATGCCGTAGCATGTCCTCAAAAAGGTATTCTGTATCCACAAGAACAATATTATCCATAGGTATATTTAGACAATGGAATTTTATGTTATTTACTTCATTTGAATTTGTAAAATGATTTTGTTTTGTATGCATTGGAAATTTGTTAGAAGTATGAGGAATTGTATTACAAATATTTAAATTTTTTTTATCAATTGGGTCAGGATCCCAGTTATCATCCTCAGGTTCACAAAATGTTGGTGAGCTGAATTCTCTAATAAAAAATAAATAAATTATGATTTGAAAATATTTGTTCAATTATGAAATATAGTTTTAAATTTACTTCAAAGCGTAAGGCCAATATTCGAAAGGGACTGCATAATGCTGAGCCCATTTGAGAGCTCCGGCCACATCCCCATGCCTAACCATTAAATTAATCAATTCTCTTTGCATTTCTTCATTTTGCCCAACAGCTTCTTGCATCATTTCATTCCATGAAGCTTCATCTAAAAATTATTATAATATTATAATTATACCTATAATAATGTTCTATAATTATAACACGTGCTCTAAAAAATTACTTAGAGATTCTTCGACATATCTTTTATGAGCTATAAAATTCAATGCTCCTTCATTTCTCTTTAAGTTCAAATTCTGACAAACATCTGGTCCTATAGAATATTTTGAACATAATCTTGCAATAAGTTTACTCAAAGGCTTTGGGTGAAGCTTGTCATATTTAACTTCAGGAATGGAATGCTCTCTGCAACGAAACGTTTAAAATCCAATTTTATTTATAGAAGTAGAAGTATTCTATTTTATAAATTTCATAAGCACTTAAGTAAACAAACTTAACATTTACCTAATAAAAGGCTCTATGCAAGTTCGTACTGTAGAATTTTTATTTAATAAACCATCCAAAAATTTAACAAGTATTCCTTGCATGTGTGGATTTTGATCAAGATATTGTTCAGCCAAGTCTTGTCTGTCTTGAAGAATAAGCGGAAGGACAAAATCCGCATATGTAATATTTGCATTCAAGTTCAAACATATAGCCCACTGACATACCTACATTAAAAAAATATTGATTGGATCCATATATCAAAATATCCAAATTTAAACTGGAACATACCTCTTTATATTCTTTTCTTGAGAGCATTTCATTTATATTTTGAAGAACATGTCACTTTGTTCATACAATCGAAAAGTTTCATTAAACAATTTTACAACATTTGTTACTTTGCTAGACTTTACAAGTGTGAATGCTATCCATTGAACTTCTTTTGTTAATGATGGTTTTTAACTCATTATAATATGACTTGCTCCATTATTCAATTCCTCAATGACTATAAGCAATAATCAATATTTTATATAATATTTGATAGTTATAGTTACATTAAGCATACAGTTATTGTACAATAACATTAAAAAAATCAATAATACTGAATTGAATTATGTTGGGATATATGGAGAAGTAGTTGATTTTTTTAAGAAATTTTAATTTCAACATTATAATTTTGGATGATTGTAAACATTTCAATTATATTTTTAATTTTTTTTTCAATTATATTTTGTTATCCAACATTTTTTCATTTAATTATTACACTCATTCTAATACAACAACACTTGCATTAATAAAATATACCTTTTGTCCCTTTTATTAATTAATTTATGATCTAACTACCATTAGTTACTATTCTTAGAGCATAGTAAATTCTCAATTAATGCTTATTGTAAACTAAATGTAAAATATTAATATCTACAAAAATTGGCAATATAATATACTCACTGACATATGGCAATTTGTTTGGTTTTGCTTCATTATAATCACCACAATTTACAAATAATTTTAATCCTGAATAATATGGATTTGGAGCAGAAGAGAAAAATGAATGTAGCGTCCTTTCCACATGCTGTGACTTTTCCCCTAAAATTATATTAAATTGATTAAAATGCGTAATATAATGATTTAAATAGGAACAGTATGAATATTTGTTAACTTATTTGAAAATCATTTATTGGAATTATTAATGTTGACTTCTTGCAATTCTAATTAGATTACATTTTTGCCATATAAATATAGCAGTTTTTATCTCTGAATGAGTCAGATATAAAAAATAAATAAGCTACATAAATTTGAATATGTTTTCATACATGATCTCCATAGTGCTTTTTAACTTATCAAACCATTGGCTTGTAGCTTCATCTAAATCTTTATCGAAAGGCTTTCATCAAAGGTACAAGATTCAAAAACAGATGGAACAACTCTAATGTGTAAATTGGGCACTCCCAGTTCTTCAATATTTTGTTTAGGATTTGTAAAGAGTAGATCACCAGTGTCATCTTCAGAATCTGATAACCTGCTGGGACATATTTATTCTGAGAATTTTGTGGGTTCATCTTCTTGAATTTTGTCTTGCTATTTATACTATTCGGTGTTTTGTAGCTACGATGAAAGTGGCCGCCTTTACGTTCAAACGTTTCATTAAATGACATCACGTAATATGATCTTTTTTGGACTAATTTAACAATTCGATGTTACTAGTAATTAGGAAACATTATTTATACGATTGAATGAAGATTTTGAAGAAAATAATTATAAAATAATCCCTGTAAGAAATTTTGACGTTAATGATAGTTTCAACCAATTGTGTACAGATGGACTGTCATATTTCATAAAAATCTACAGCTTAGCCAACATGATAAAAAGTTTAAGTTTACTGTTGACATGTTGGTGACATTTTCTCAAATATAACCAATTTGACCTGTCAAAATTAAATATTTGTTATAA